AGACTACTTAGACTGTTACTGAATTAATTTTTAATTCTCTTGCAAATGTCAAAATATACGCTATATACTATCATATCTGATTATTTGTCTTTAATTAACTGATTGCGTTGATTAAAAGATTATTTTTTTACGAACAATGAGGTGATCCTATAAGAATTCCATTTTTCTGTTTGAGTTAGGGAATCATAAAAGTACAGCATATTTTTCTATGGATTGTGGTACTGGCGCTATCTATTCACATCTATGTCTATGGTCTATATAGTATTCAAGACAAACTTCGCTTCATATTCGCAGCGGTTTACTGCCACTTGAGACAATATTGCGCAGTCCAAAGGCACAGATTTGATAAATAAAAAAGTTTCGAAACCACAATTTTTATGAGCGATTTTTTCCTTGACATGATTGAAAAGTTTGCACTTTGAGTTCAGTTTAGTTTCCTTTGCGGAAACTTTTTCTTTTCTCAATGAAATAATCACGCAGGACATACAAACCTTATGAAACGCTGTCAAATTTATGAAGTCAAATTTATGAATCTAAATATATCTATACTTTTTTTACTTCAACAATGATTATTCGTGGCTACATAACCGCTTCGTTCTGGAACCAATTCATACAAGTTTATTTCTTTTCATTTATGCAAAGCAACGTCATCATTACGTCGTATCAAAGCTTACAATAATGTCCTCCTTTTAAAATATGAATATTTATAATAAACTTGTATTTACGCTATTCCCAACAAGAAAATGTTGGGTTTTCGCAATGAAATATAGGTCAATAAATGACAAAAAATTTGGAACCTTCATCAATATTACCTTTATCTTGACAACTTGACGCTTCGTGTTAGTATAGAGCATAGGTTCTCAACGTGGACGATAACGCCCCCTAATGGGTATTTGAGACTTTCAGAGAGACATGGAATACCCAATGAAAATTAGACAAAAATATTATTTAAATATAGTTGTGACAATATCTTTTTTAAATTCGCTACAGATGGTGCAAAGTGGGCGGTGGACAAAATAAGGTAAAGAACCTGTAGTATAGAGGCTCAAATTTGCATATATTCTATTTTCATTACAGCTTTTTAAAGAAGTCAAAAATTTTTTTTTAAATCTGACGGTTAGTTCGAAAGAATAACGCGTTCCAACAAGTTTTTTTTTTTTTTTGTTTTATTTTAAACAAAAACTTTTGAATGACAAACGGAGATGGTGTTAATCGATCATGTATGAGTTTTCTAATGACTACATATAATAATTTTAGACATAGTATATTTAAATATATGTTTACTTATAATATATATGCTAACAGAGATTTAAAAGAGTTACTATTGAGTTTCTTGCGTGTTCTTCTTAGCAGATAACAATATTACGAACCCTGCAGTAGATTAAAAAAAATGACTATTTAAAAGTGCTTGTAAACAAGTCTATTTGAATAAAGATCATTTGAATTTGAATTTAATTTGAATTATCTTATATATAAAATTCTCGTGTCACGGTGTTTGTTACCAAACTCCTCCGAAACGGCTTTACTGATTTTTATGAAATTTTGTGTGCATTATGGGTAGGTCTGAGAATCGGCCAACATCTATTTTTCATATCCCTCAATGATAAGGGTGACCCTACCCCAAAAATTTTTTTTTATTTTTTTGACAAATTTTACCATTTTTATTTTATTATGATTTAGCATTGAAAAATACATACAACCTCAAATTTTCACCGTTTTACGATCAACCCCTGTATTTTAATCACGATTTTTATATTTCGCAATAAGTGGTAAAACAATTCTGAAAGAGAAGAATTCATGCGCCACTTTAACTTAAATAAATTGAATGTTGGTCTTATTCAAACTATGTTAGCTGAACTTAAACCAGAAATTTTTGAACATCTGTGTAAATTATTGAAGCCCATTAATTCTTCTCTTTCCGCGTCTAGGGAAGGTAGATAAAGTTTTGTTGGAGAAATCAGTTCAGGGTACAATAGGACTGATATACCTGAAGAAGGTAAAAGCCCTTAAAATATTAAAAAAAAAAAAAAAAACGTTTACGGGGTCAGCTAGTTTTATTATATAATTCAATTTCACCCTATAGACAATGATACCTTTGTTAACTAACAAATATCTGTCACGTAACATTCACGCCTGAATAATTCAAACAGGATTATCGTTACTGTAAATTTGCTATTTTGATTATGAGTAGTACAACTCAATATTGCGGATAGTAATAGTGGATGTAACATCATTACGTGACAGCTATTGAAACAGATTACACGCGTGATGTATTTATATTGAGAATTATAGTCAATAGACTCTTGTTTATATGACAATAATAATATATACTTACAGTAGACACCAGTCTCACACAAAACTGGTTTCACATATTTAATTGTATCTTAAGTTGTTTTTACTTTTTTTTTTACAACACAGGGGGCAAACGAGCATGCGACTCACCTGATGGTAAGTGACTACCGCCGCCCATGGTCACCCACAACACCTACGGCATTGCAGATGTGCTGCCGGCCTTTTAAAAAGGAATATACTCTTTTCTTGAAGGTTATGTGTCGTATCGATTTTTACTATCTTTTGTGAAGACAAATAAAATCACTCGTTCATTCATTCAATAAATATATTTATTTTATTTATTTATTTAAACTTTAATAGACACTGAAACTATGTACATATTACGGACTTAACACCGGACGGTGTTCTCTACCAGTCAATCATTTGGCAAACTAAGAAATAAGTAGCCGGTACATAATTGAACTGAATTTCTATAAAAAAAATGCTGGTTTTAATATATATTTAGAAACGCCACTTGAAAAACGGTTAAATTTAGTAAGCTTACCATAAAAAAATTTAATTGCTTTAAATTGTATTATATTGAGTAGAATGACTGCCTTAATAATGCTTAATACTTGTATAGTTGTGTAATTTTTTTATAACAGAGAGGGCAACCGAGCATGCAGCTTACCTGATAGTAAATGATAACCGCTGCCCATGATCACCCAAAACACCAGAAGCATATACTATTTCTTTGAAAGTTACGATGTCATATCGATTCAGAAATACCGCAGCAGGAAGTTGATTCCAAAATATGGTTGGACAAGATATATATCAATACGTCGCAAAGATGTATATCTTGATTATGTACATGTAGTTATCATGTAAATACATACCTACTGTCAGTCAAAATTTATATAAAGTTATAAAATTTTATATATACAAATAAATGGAAGTAAATGTTGACTGAGTCTAGATACGATGGACAGAGAGCAGGGTAAGACGAAAACATAATGCGTTGACAACGAAATTACATAAAGAGACAACGGCAAAGCAATAACAAGTATAAATGATAATATAATATTTTATAGTCTAATTAAAGCTCTAAAAAATGGTTCTTAGTGTTTTTTTAATCAAGTATGGGTATTTCTATGATCCGAAACCATGGTACGTAGCCCCAAACGTTTCCCCTACTGATTATATTATAGCAAAAATGACGTTTTGTAATATTTCTCATACCTTACCAGGTCACGTTTGAAGCATTAAACAATAAAAAGTAGTTAAATGTAATATTAAAAATTTCGAACTATCTGTATATATGACTATAAGTATGAAGAAGTAAGATTTTCTACAACAAAATAAATTCAAATAAATATTAACTTACTAAATTACAAAGGAAATTAGAATCCTCAGGAATGGTAACGCATGAAGGGTATAGTGAACGACACTGTATACCAATTAGTACTAGAAAAGAATTTGTTCCGGGGTATATACGTGATTTTAAGAGGCAAAAAATATACAAGTATAATAAACTAATGTAAGAAAAATAAAAGCCGTTAACAAGTCGCTTGTTTATTTATAGTAATCCTATTAATCTATACTAATATTATAAAGAATAGATAAACGCAAAAAAACGCTACTCAATCGAATTTAAAAATTCTTTCACCTATAGAAAGTACCATGGACATAACAGACTATACTGTTTCACCCATGATACCCCCATGCGTTGCCATTCCTGAGGACTCAGATGTTATTCCTCTGTACCCAGTAAATTTACGCCATATCCTACCCTTCAAACCGAAACACAGCCATGCAATCACAACGGCTACTCGGTTGAAACACGAATGGGACAGAGGTACCCAAACAATGGACATTATCAGCGAGTATGATAAGCTATATATAAATATATGTGTATTATATAGAAATCCTTACTAAAATGTATAGGTATTATATAAAATATTTATTTATTTTTCTATCTAACCATTCGAAGTTGGGACAGATCATCAGTATTGTATATGGAAAAGTTTTTAAAGTTATTAAAAAGTTAAATTAAAATGATGTGATAGCATCTTAGATAAACACGTGATATTTTTATTCTAAATCATGCAAACCAATTATAATAGAAGGTAAGATAGAAGAAAGGAAAGGAGAAGGAAGACCAAGGCATAGTTACATCAGGCAGATCAAGGAAAAAGTTGGTGTCGTGTCGTATCAAGAGGCTCGCTGAAAATCATACCTAGTGAGTGGCAAAAGCTCCAGCAAGACTATACCAGAGGGAGACTTTGTGCAAAAGTCGATTGCTTTTGACAGGGTCGATTGCTTTTCACGGTTGAAACACGACGAGAGGTACCCATCTGTCCCAGTCGTGTTTCAACCGTGAAGCAGTTGTGTTTGCATGGCTGTGTTTCGATTTGAAGGGTGGGATATGGCGTGAATTTACTGGGTACAGAAGAATAACACCGAAGTCCTCAGCAATGGCAACGCATGGGAGGTATCATGGGCGAAACAGTATACTCTGTTATGTCCATGGTACTGCTCATGTCTATAGGCGACGGTTACCACTTTTCATCAGGTGGGCCGTCAGCTTGTTTGCCATTCTAAGTTGAATAAAAAAAAAGCAAGAGCGCAGTTTTCAAATAGGAACCGCGAGTTAGAACTAATTATAATAAAAACAATTTCTTAGATATATATATATTCATTTTATTTACAAAACAGGTAACGTGGTCGGGGAGCGAAGTTTACAGGTATTTCGCATATGCCAATGGAGCGCCGTATCCGATGGGACCGTATTTTGCGAAGTTTGTGAATCCATATGGGGCAGAGTAAGCGATTGGAGCGAAAGTCCTTGCAGCGATAATGGGAGCGGGAGCAGCGATGATGGCGGGGTCCTTCCTCACGACCGCGTTGAATCCACCAGCGCCAGCTGCGTAGTCGACTGTTCTACGGGTGCCATCAGATTCCAAGAGGGAGTATTGACCCTGGACGTTGCTGCCTGAGCGAGCTTCGATTTGACTCTTGAAGTCGCCAGTGAAGGGATCAGCAATATCGTAGGAGAAGCTGTTGAAGTTGTTAGAAGCGGCAGCGGCGGCCACGAAAGCGAGGACAACAACGAACTGGAAAATAAGATATTTTTTGTAATAATCAGTACAATTTGAAACATAATTATTATTGTACATTTAGCTGTCTATCGATTTTGCATGAATAAAACACACTGAATGATGAAGGATTAGAATGAAGTAACGTCATATAATATGTAATAACTTATATGAAAAAAATAAAAAATAATAACATTTGAATAAAGATTTATTTAAAATTACTATTATAATTTAAATATGTTATAATAATACAAAAAAGGAAAAGAAACTAGATCGAATGATAATTTTATATTGAAACTTCTCAATTATCATACTTTGGAACGAATAACGTAAAAGTTGGAAAAAAATACAATTCAGACTTTTTTTCAATCAAGTTGTTTATATTGTACTCATAAAATTTGGGAATACGGAAAGTTTCAAATATTCGATTGTTTAAATTTTAAATTACATAAAATTTCATTTGAAAACAAATTTTTCATCGGCGTAATTTTTACTTTTTATTTTTAAAGGATAAGTCATTACATAACATCATAGATATCTATGATTCGATGATGCCTTTTTTCGTATCACTTTACATCTGTTTTATATTTATTTTATCAGAATTGAATTCTTAAAGAAAAAATTTTAAATTATTAACTTACCTTCACAACCATTTTGTTGAATATGTAGGTAATGTGACTACGTTGGTAAGTCCCGATGAAATGATGCCTTAAACAGCAAATGGTCACGTATTTATATTAAATGAGCATTCTACCTTTTCTCGTCATATCCAGGAAGTGTTAAAGGTAAAACAGAAACAAGTGCATTCAAAAAGGTTACGTATTATGGATTTCCAGTTTATTATTTTTATGTATTGTTTACAACGCCCCAAGCTATACCCTTGGAAAGTTGAGACACATTTATGTCAATGTAATTTAATTAACATTATTATATTGTTTATTTTTAAATTTCATCTTTCAACTAAGTACACGAAAAGATCTGTTTCTTTCGTAATTTACATAAATATAATATTATGTCATTAACATCAAAGACACGAAACAATTTGCATACTGTTTCTGACCCGTATTATAATTAGGAAAAAAGCCGTATAAATATATATTAAACCACGCTTGTAAGGATTTTTGTTCATTATACTCTTATATATAAATTAAAAAAATATATAAATATGTTTTAGTAATTCAGGTACCCATCTGAACTATATTGTTTTTATATTTGGCTAAATGGAATTTAATGAAATTCGATACACAGTCGTTTCTATCATTACTTAACACATAGGAGAATTTATATACTGATTTACTTGAGTAAAACTGTGGAAAACAGTTTTTTTCTTAATGGATAATAATGGAACGGTAACACCAGTGAGTGATGATAGGTAAAAATGAAAAGGCAGGTCAGTTATCCCACCGTGATGAATACACCTGAAATTCAGTACGATGGTTTCCAGGGGGATCACGAGGAGGTCAACTTGACAGGGTATATTGCTGGCAATGAGACTGAAAGTCCGTATTGCTAACAATCTCTTCATCTCCTTGTTTATAGCTTAATATTGTTAATTCTGCATGTACAAATACAAAGTATTAGTTCTTGTGTGTTGGAAGGAACAAGGCACAGGTTACCCTAATTTGTAAGCTAGGGCAAAAAATATGTAACAGTGCAACCCTGTATTTGTTAATAAAGTTTTATTATTATTATTATCTCTAGTAGAAGGCAGTTAGTGGATATATATTTCTAGCTACAATATAATCCAATAATGGCTATGTCCAATCAACGTACCTAAGTAGAAAATGCCCCAATTTGCACGTACAACTACCCTAGTTTCACCGACTAAAACATTTAAGTGAGTGACGGAGTATCTCAAGAGGCAGCATTTATCGACCCTTCCACATAATGTGAAGTCAATGGGACATTGAAGGGACAAAATTTATTGAGCATCTTCACAGGTCATTCATGACATGTCTTTTTGTCGCACGCATATTTATTTTATTTAAAAGGGTTTATACTTGACACTACATTAGTTATCCATTTAAGTAATGCCGCATCATTCGAAATACATTAATAAAATTCCGATTTACTCGATGTTTAAAAAGCATATGGAAACTTCAAAAGCGAAATATGAAATGTTTAATGCCACATAAATTATATCTATCTTGATCTAATCTGTACCGTGTGGTCCCAGCATAGAATGGATCACCTCTTCCTTTCGCGTGGGTATCGTAAGAGGTTAGTAAAAGAAGTTAAAGGTCAGGGATGAGCAGGAGCATCTTTTTTTTTTACAACACAGGGGGCAAACGAGCATGCGGCTCACCTGATGGTAAGTGACTACCGCCGCCCATGATCACCCACAACACCAGCGGCATTGCAGGTGTGCTGCCGGCCTTTTAAAATATCACCAAAAGTCTAATTGCGGTTGCCAACCCACTTGCCAAGTGCGGCAGTGGGGCAGTGGACAGTTAACAGCTAATACAACGATGATCTAACCTTATGCTTCATGAAGCCTGTATTCATTATTGTTTAGAAGTTTTGAATTTTTATTTACATATATTTTTAATGAAAAAATGACAACGGTTCGAAAATATTCATTATCTATAAAATTATGTTTATTATTGTTTTTTTTTTGTTTATAACTTCTATTTCTATTTAAAGGTACCTCATATAGTACACTAACCCGGTAGCTCAGGCAGCATTTTATTTCATTTTTCTCTTCTACCTACATGTGTATTATTTCCCTAGTCACCTCTTGCGATCCACATGTAGTTAAAGAAAACTGGTGACAATATAATCTTTCTTATATAACGTTAGCGTTTTGCCATATTATGGCATTCTTCTTTTCATTTAAAAGTACCCTCTTGTCGGTGCAACTAATTCAACTAATTCATGCATCTTTAAAATTATTTATGTATTTATTTACACTTTATTGCACACAAAGGTTACCTTAATATAAATTATTTTGATTAGAGATGTACAATAAGTGAGCTTAACTCTGTATAATTTCTCTTCTAGCAAATTACGTTGAAATTGAAATTTATTTTAATTTTTGATTGAATTGAACACAAGAATAAAAATGTCATAATTACAAAGCTTTGAATAAGGTGAAACAATTTCAATCTATTTTCTTTTTATCAATAATCTTGTTAAAAGGCCGCAACCGTCTCATTACGAAGTACAGTTATCAGTATTTTTTGTAATATTATATTATTTATTAAATAAACACTTTATTGCGCAAATATTGCACGAATTATTGAAGAATTACATTAATAAAGATGCTCCATTTTTGTATTTAGTAACTACAGAAAACTTCGATATCCATGCTCTAGTAACAAAACCAATAGAGCGCCAAAAGTAAAAGCTATATATTGAAACACACCGAGGCGTAAATAACAAAGTTTTAAAACGAAAATATCCAGTTTGTATTCCAGTAAACAAGTTGCGAAACGCCGAATGGTTACAAACTAAAATACGGGTTATAACTAATCCGCATACGTGAATACCAACTGAGGTAAATTCTGTGAAATTTTAACATTGCCATTTTAAACTGTAATAACTTGTTGATCAATTGTTAATTAAACTTGCGTATGCAAGTTGGTACATAGTATATGTATATATACTATGTACCATATGGTACTGATATAGAATGGGCCATCCCCTCCTTTTCAGCGAAGGTTGTAAGAGACGACTAACAGAACTTAATGCTTGAAGGATGAACTGCAACGTTCCTCTTAAAACATCACCAAAACCTAACCAAAGCCTTATATGACAACTATCGGCAAAACGCCTCTTATGGGAGAGGTTTGTGTTCAGCAGTGGACAGTTAACAGCTAATGTGATTGTGATGACATATACAACGTGTTCTTTAAACATAATTATTGCTTAAAAAGTTAATTATTTTGCAATTAATAGCTTATTCCTTAAATTATTAATTTATTTTCTATACATATGTAGGTCATAAATTTTTGGTTCGTAAAAGAAACGAATTGTATACATGAAAGAATAATTATTATATTATGTACAATGATAATTCAAAATCGGATATATGTCTAAGGTTTAATAAATGTATATATTAATATTGTGTCTTGTTGTAACATTAATTTAGAGTTTAAACTTAAATTGTATTTTTTTTTTATTTTTATTTGAAAACAAAACTTACGGTTACCATTTTCCATCAGGTGAACCGTTAGGTTATTTGCCATTTTTAACTTGCATAAAAAAACTTTTCTAACATTCTTATTTATTTTATAATAGTTTCATTGACTACTTATTATGTATGATCCAAAGTGTGCACTTGTTACCGGTAGTGAGTTTTATATATTACTAAAATTATATAATGTAATAAGTAGTTAAAATTAAATAAATATAACTACATATATAAATTCAGTGGTTAATATTGCATGCCATTTGATGTGGCGAAATATAATAGACATCTTGTAAATTTGGCAAATGCAACATCTTATCTATAATGTTTCTGGCAAATAAATTTCATTAAATTTTATTTCAAACCATGAAAAGGTGTAAAAAATTGTAGTTCATAATATAAACATACTTACTGCTTTGTTATTATCATCGTCATTTAATTTACTGACGTACCTGGAAAAAAAAAAGTATAATTTAGGATTACATACAACAAATAATGTAGTAATGATATTTAACACTAGCAGTAATCTGATTATACTCTTTTCAGAATTAAAAAAATTCAATTATACTGTGGAGATTCAAAATTCAAAAAGTGAATTTCAAAATTGAAAAAGATCGAGTGAATTTTATATAAAAAGCGACATTTTATAATGCGACCTATTTATTACCTTTGATTTCAGAGAGTCCTAAAATTGCTCAGTAGTAAATAAATACTCTTTCTATAGAGAGAGAAAAGTCAACATAATTACTATCACTTAATATAACTAACTAACTACATCACTTAATATGTAATAAATATGTAATTTTGTAACTATGTGTGGATGTTTGTTACTATAATATTTAACGTACGAATTTGATGAACTTTGATGCATTGAATTTAGGTTATATCCTAACATAGCACATAAGCTACTTTATATTTTTATTCACACAGGCCGCGAGATACAGCTAGTCTAAAATGTTTAAAGTCGACATAACAAGATTCTTTCTTTTATTTATATTTATTCACAATAATTGCAGTATTCACTCCCATTCAGATTATAACACTTTGGGAGAAAGGGATTGTTAGTAACGGAGATAAGCGATCCCATTACTAGTAATATAGTTCCTATCAAGTAAATCTCCACGCGGTTCCTTCTAGAAACCATCATGGTTAATTCTTGAATGGTGAATTCATCACGATAATTAACTCACCTACTTTCATCCTATCATCCCTCACTGGTGCTCTGCTAGCATATATTAATAGCGCAAACAGGGATACCCTTCCATGGTGCATAAAACACATACCATCTTTCACATTATACCCTCTACTAAGCATAGACCCCCCTAATTGGGGTTTTTTTTCAGTAGTTGCTACACCTGGCAGTCGCGTTGGCAATACATTTTTGATGATATTTTACGAAGGAAAAGAACGTTGCTACCCATCCCTCAACCACTAAGTTCCTTCAGTCACCTCTTACGACGTCCATGGAAAAAATGTATGTGATCCATTCTATTCTATATGGCCCAGTATAGAATGGACCACATACACCTTGTAGATGGTCCATTCTATACTGAAACGACACTTCAGTCTTTCACATAGCTCATGTATGTTTTTAGATCTTCCTTTACCCTTGTAACTAT